AAATTGGCCCAGTCCGATTTTTCTCTTGTTTTCTTCTATTTTCTTTTAATTCCCAAAACCAAAATTCTAAAATAAATTGTAAAGCCAAAATTATCCTACAAAATACTAATCAACCCTTAATAATAATTATCACACACAATTGAATATCAATTAAAAATAAAAATCACACAATTTGACATTAAATGCTAAAATACAAAGTAAATTATTTTTTTGTGATTTTTCATTTTGTAAAACAAACTTGTTTGTTTAATTAATAACTAAATTGTAAAATTAAATCCTAAATGCACATGCAACATATATTTTTTGTATTTTTCTTAATTACAGTAGAAATAAACACGCGTAGATAAAATACAAATAAATTATAAACAACACAAAACCATTTTATTTTGAATTTTTGGGAGTAGTTCTCATAGGGCAAAAATCACGTGCTCACATTAGGTTGTGCCGACCACGTTGACTGGAAGGGTGATTTCCCCTTTCGTTGTTTTGCTCGCCATGTTGAATCCGTTAAGGACTCGAGAGGCGGGTACGATTTGGTCAAGCAGTCTTAGATCCTCCACCACTCTCGGCCTGATAATGTTGACTGAGCTACCTGAATCCACAAGTACACATTTAATTTGAAATGTATTTACAAGAAAAGAGATTACCAGTGCGTCGTTGTGAGGCTGAGACAAGGTCTCGATGTCTTTGTTGCTGAATGTGAAGGCGTCATCGGGTATGTAACCCCGAGTTCGCTTTTCTCTGGTGATGGATATTTTTGTTCTTCTTATCATGGGCTCATATGGGGCATAGATGCCTCCCAAGATCATGTGGATGACATGTTATGGCTCATTTGTTTCACTCTTCTTGGCCGCCTCTCTTTCCCGGAACTGATTTTTGGCTCGGTCGTTGAGGAATTCTCAGAGGTGACCTTTACTGAGTAGTCGGGCTACTTCTTCTTGGAGCTGGTGGCAATCCTCGGTCTTGTGGCCATGCGTGTTGTGAAATTCACACACTAAGTTATGATTTCTTTGCGAAGGATCTGATTGCACAGGTCTGGGCCACCTAACATCTCTGATTTTACTAATGGCGAACACGATGTCAGATATGTCGACATTGAAGTTGTAGTCTGACAAGCGAGGTGCCTCCATTGGCCCTGTGTGCCTATAGAATCCAGATCTGTTAACGAGTCCTCGAGGATTCTGGCCTCGGTCCATCCTTAGATCATTGTAGGGTATATTGCACCTCAGGGCGTTTCTCCTGCCTTCGGTGTATGGCTGGTACCTTTTTTTGTTTGGCTTTGGCTCCTTCGCCAGAAGTCTGATTGGGTATACCGAGCTCGAAGGGGCTCCTAGTTGGTCATCCTAGACCCTAATTTTTGATTGATATCGGTTGTGAACGTCCGACCAGGTCACGACGAGATATTCAACCAGATTCTGTTTCAGCTGCTTTGAACCCACCGAGCTTTGTTCATTCAGACCTTGAGTGAAGGCATGTACTACCCAGTCGTCGGAGACTGGTGGTAGTTCCATTCGTTCCATTTGAAAGCGAGATACGAACTCTCGCAGTATCTCATTCTCCCTCTGCTTGATCTTGAAGGCGTCAGATTTTCTTGTTGCTACTTTGATGGCACCGACATGCGCCTTTATTAAAGAATCTACTAGTATGACAAATGAGTCTATGGAGTTAGGAGCTAGGTTGTGATACCAAATCATGGCCCCTTTCTATAGCGTTTCCCCGAACTTTTTTAGCAAGACGGATTCGATCTCATCGTCCTTTAGGTCGTTGCCCTTCTCTGCACAAGTGTAAGTAGTAACGTGCTCGTTAGGGTTGAGGTTCCATTGTATTTCGGAAAGTCTAGCATTCTGAACTTCTTTGGAATGGGTTTTAGAGCCGCTTCCTCTGGGAACAACCTTTGTATGAACTTCTTTGAATCTACACCTTTCAGGATCGGGGGTGCACCCGGAATTTTGTCGACCCTGGAGTTGTAGGTCTCGCACTTTTTGTCGTTGACTTCTATCTTCTTCTCGCCCGATTCGATCTTCTTTATGAGGTCCTCGAGCATCTTTATGATGGCGACCTCGGCTGCCGACCCATTGTTGCTTGATCTCTCTGGTACCTGCTCGACTGGGGGAGCCGTCCCCGGCACTATCGTGTTGGGAGTTTTCTGGTAACTTTGCAGCTAAGCAATCGCTAGCTGTTGTGCGTGCAATATTTCAAAGATAACGTGAAGGCTAACCTTCTATTCTTCCCTAGTCGGGGTTTTCTGAGCTTCTTGTTAGTCTCCTTGGTGCACACTCCTGCTAGTGTGGGAGCTTATATCGACGTGTTGGGCATCGCGTGAGACCGCATTCGCGGGAATTGGTTCTGGTGCGTTCTCGGGTTTCGTGGTGGTACACCGACACCTGGAACATCCACACCATTTTCTCCATGGTCCTCAAGATTGTTGTTTCCGCCTCCATTTACCGAGTCAGACATTTTGACCTGAAATCGAAGATCTTGGACAAGAAAAAGTGTGAAAGATAACTTGTGTTATGTAGTAAAACCAGCAAGAAAATAATCATTATTATTTTTAGCCCCACTGTGGGCGCCAAACTGTTTATCGTAAAAATGGTAATAACAATTAAATTTGATTTTGTGGTTCTAAAAATACATGATCTATTTTTATGCTAGTTGTTAAGGCAATAGATGCTAAGTGAAATATTTGGGATCAAGATATGAGCTTAAGACAAGATGTTAACCAAACCGAATCGCTGTCAATCGAGGCCTCGAGTTTGCTTATTCGGGGCCTCGGGGTCGAGTCCGATGTTCGCCAAGGGCGGTCGATGGAGACAAACAGTTATAATAAAATCAATTATGGGTCTTTATAGCCAATAATAAGCAATAAATGAAGAGCAATAAATAGAACACAATAAATATAAGCAATAAATGAAGTGATGAGACCAAGAGAATGTGTTAGAGGGCAGAGAGAATGTTCTTGTGCATTTAGTATTGAGCAATAGGTGTCTACAAAATGACAAGGATCTCCTTTACATATGAGGGGGAATCCTAACATAGTACAAAAGGTATTAATTACAAAGATATGGAGCTGGTACAACCATTTAATGCCTTGATTCGCTTTTTTTGGCTAGTCCCCTAGACTTGGCCAGCTATATGTACGCGCTTTGGGAACTTCACCTTGATCCGCCGAGACCACTAATTTGCATTGCCTCGAGGTCGGTCGTCATTTACGCTACCTCGAAGTCGACCACCGAGAACCCTCGGAGTCGAACACTAAAAATCCCCGAGTTGCCTCGATGATCGTAAAATCGAACCGTCGATTTGTACCGTATACAATACATTTTGTATAGCTCCCGAGATCCATCCCAAAAAATGGTGGCTTTTGGATAACGAGTGTCAAAGCCTATATTTTATCACTATGAAATTGGACATTAATTTTTTAATTCTTTTCAAAATGAGATTGTATTTTGAGTTCCATTTATTAGCTTGACAAAATAAGCTACTAGGTTTTCGAGTTAAAATTGTCGAAAATATAGGGAGTAAATTCGACTTAACTTTAACTAGAAGGGGAAAAATGAATGTTTAACTGAATGGGCAGGGGACTGCGTCAAATTTCTCAAATCATATTATAATACTTACTTTGGACTACAATTTCTTCAAAGAAAACAAAACTTTCTCATTAGAACTTTTTACTAATTGAGAAGTTCGCATTTTGTTCTTTTGTTTCTTTAATGGGAGAAGGCTCATGAAGTTGATTTCTAAGAAGGGGCTATAAATTAAATTATGAATGCGGTTGCAACCCAAAATATGTGATTCATTCCCTTTGTCATGAAGTTATATTTATGGAAGAGAATTGAAGGATTAATAAAATATGATAGAGCAAAGTGGATATATGTGATGATTAACTCTTTCACACACAGGAAATTGATGATCATCAGTTCATAAAAAAGAGAGTTAATTGTTTAATTGGAAACGAAGTAATGAAAATCCCATAAAAGACAGATTTTATACATGCGTCTGAATTGCAAAAGTTAATTAAAGCACCCTCTCAAAATCTTAAGGTTTTGAATATATTTGAATGTGTTGGAAGTTGATTTGTTATTGGTAGCTTGCTGACAACGTGAAATTTGTATACTAAAATGTCGTGCATGAGTTATTTCCTATTCAATTGTTTCAACCTCTAAAGAGTGGGGAAGGATATTTGGAAGCTAACCTCCAATCCAATGGCTTAGAATCAGGTAGAAACTTGTATGAGATTTTCATACTTAATTAGCTAACATTTAGTTAAATTTATGACTAATAAAAAATTAAAGCTATATAGCAATAGCTCCTAAATCAAAAGCAACAAGGAATGCTTTAAAAAATTGAACAGTAATGAAGATAATTAGAGAGTCTCATGGCCCCATGCATTCTATTATCTCTTGCCCAAGTCAGATCATTTTGTATAACTTAGTTATTGGTTTTAAAATTAAAAGGAATTCAACCAAATAGTTAGTAACTTTTTTGTTTCTGAGCAATGAGTATTTTTAAGAAAATGATTCGGAAATTATGAAAATGCGTCCAATAGTACATTCTATTCCTTTTCTAAAATACGTACTGAAACACTTCAAAGAACAGGCCAACTAGCTACCAAAGCCGGCAATGACATCACTTACATTCTTCAGAAATGACACAATCACATACTCCTGTTAAATTAACAACAAAAGCCATTTGTCCATTAATTTCTTAGACAGTAACTATCTCAATTATATTCTGAATCCTAATAGGTGACAATTGTAAAAAACAACCAAAGAAAAAAAAGTAACACTTGTTAAACCCTTCTTAAGCATAACATAGACACTCTTACCCTTAAATTTCCTGCTTATTGTTGCTCCATTACAACAGTAACGTCTCAGTCCCAAGCGGTTTGAGGTCCTATATAAGAACTCTCATAATTCATATTGCTTCATTTAAACTCATCTGAATCTTTGTTTCTCGAGTAATTGAATCACTATTAGCTATTGCAAGAGATACTATCACTAATGGAACTTCCCTCAAATCTATCAACAGATGAGGCAAGTCCAGAATGGATGAACAAAGGTGACAACGCGTGGCAGCTCACGGCTGCCACCTTAGTCGGGCTCCAGTGTGTGCCCGGCTTGGTCATCCTTTATGGTGGGATGGTAAAGAAAAAATGGGCAATCAATTCAGCATTCATGGCACTCTATGCCTTTGCTTCTGTTCTCATATGTTGGGTAGGATGGGGCTACCGGATGTCATTTGGTGACAAGCTTGTGGCCTTTTGGGGAAAACCGGCTGTCGCCATGGACGAGAAGTACCTTCTTGGACAAGCATTCTTGGGGTACTTTCCTACAGCAAGTATGGTGTTTTTTCAATTCGTTTTCGCGGCGATTACGCCAATCTTGGTCGCTGGGGCGCTTCTTGGGAGGATGAATTTTATAGCTTGGATGTTGTTCGTGCCTTTGTGGCATACTTTTTCGTATACCATTGGGGCATTTAGCATTTGGTGTCCAGAAGGGTGGCTGTCCAAGCTAGGAGTGATTGATTTTGCAGGAGGATATGTTATTCATCTTTCTTCTGGTGTAGCTGGTTTCACGGCGGCTTATTGGGTAAGTAATTTAACGCAACACTATGAACTTAATTCCCCCTTCCTATTCGTCATTCAAAAGTTAAATTTCTCATAAATTTCTGGGGTCTTGGTAAGTATATGATGTAGTATTTTACCGGTCCTTAGTGAGAAACACAACTTGGAATTGGTGGAAATAGGATCAGACTCATTTTCTTCTATCTCAGGAATATAAACTTTCTCCAGATGGATGATGACCAAAGTCGGGATATATTTATTGACATTGTATTATACCAGTATCGACACTAGCTTGGTATGGTCTTATGGACCAAAGCCCTGGACTTATGGTTGATGTGTTTTTGTATAAATTAAGGTTATAATATTGAGACTACCCCCACACAAAAAAACACTTTGAATAGATATAAATAATTAAAGGGCTTAGTAATGAATGAAGGAAGCTCTTCTTTCCTCATCCGCGCTCATCAAGCCAACTTTGCTCTTTGGGAGGTGAAACAGCGGTTGAAACGGACATTTCGTTATTACATAGATTTTCTAAATAGCACTAGATTTGAAGAAGAAAAAAGCGAGTTTCAGAAATGTTTAATCTATAATCAATCCATATACCTTTCATAAAATCATATTATAAAACATTCTGAGGTGAAACAGCGGTTGAAGCGGACATTTCGTTATTACATAGATTTTCTAAATAGCACTAGATTTGAAGAAGAAAAAAGTGAGTTTTAGAAATGTTTAATCTATAATCAATCCATAATCATAAAATCATATTATAAAACATTCTTTAAGCTGGAATATTAATCTTGAAAGTTTCAACTCTCCCTAAATTATTCAGAATCTTACTTTGAGATCATCTTTTTATCCTGATCAAGACTTGGGACGTTCAATGGCAATGTCAACACTTAACAGGTAGGGCCAAGACTGGACAAAGACAGAGAGAGGTTTCCACCAAACAACATTCTGATGATGCTGGCCGGCGCTGGCCTTTTGTGGATGGGTTGGACTGGGTTCAATGGTGGAGCACCTTATACCGCCAGCACCGACGCCTCGCTAGCCGTATTGAATACACATGTCTGCACTGCCACCAGCCTCCTTACTTGGTTAGTCCTAGACATGTCTGTCTTTGGCAAACCCTCTGTGATCGGAGCTGTTAATGGCATGATCACTGGCCTTGTTTGCATCACTCCTGGTGCAGGTACATTCTCCGGATAAGTTTTAATTTTGTACACTGACAGTATATAGTGAATATGGTAACCTAGAATATAGAGTAATAACCTGCTATCCATGCACATAACTTAAATCCTAGATAGAATCCAAGATGATTTTCTCCATTCTAGACTAACTGGTACATTCACCTAATACAGGAGTTGTTCAATGTTGGGCGGCCATCCTGATGGGCTTAACTTCGGGAAGTGTACCGTGGTACACAATGACAGTCCTTCACAAGAAGATCAAGTTCCTAAGGCATGTCGATGATACTTTTGCCGTCTTTCATACCCATGCCCTAGCTGGAATTTTAGGAGGTATTCTCACTGGTTTTTTCGCTGTGCCAAAGCTCTGTCGGCTATTTTACCTTGTACCTGAATGGGAAAGGTATATTGGCCTAGCCTACGGTCTGCAGACGGGCAGGACTTCAGCTGGGCTACGGCAAATGGGAGCTCAACTAGCTGGAATCGGATTTATCGTATGTTTAAATATTGTCATGACAAGCTTGGTCTGCTTGTTCATCAAGTTGATTGTGCCCCTTAGGTTGGAGGAAGAGGTGCTGAAAATTGGAGATGACGCTATTCATGGAGAGGAAGCATATGCAATCTGGGATGATGAAGAGAAGTATGAGAATACCCAGGTGAATTCTGCATATGATGCTGATGAGTATCCATCAGTTGTTTCAAAGACTGTGAGTGAATTCCAAATGGTATGAAGTGCTCTCTATGGCTAGGTTGCAAGGTTGCAGTATAGTTTGCTGCTAGCCTGAGTAGAACTTCTAAGTCTTCTTTCATCCAATATGTTGTAAAGAAACATATTGCATGCTCCAATTTAGTCTTCGTACGTTGGTAGCAGGGGAGAAACAGATGAAATAGAGTCAGAAATGAGGAAATTGTCCACAACCATAACATAGTAATCACTTTTGATCAATCATTTAAAAAGACAGATATGAAGTAAGAATACATTCTTCAAAATATTACAAGTTCTAACAAAAAAAAGGGCCTATGTTACACTCCATTCGAACGAAATATTGTCCATAAGTTCCCCAAGCATTCACATCTCACTCTCATAAACTATTAAAACAGTTCCGCTTATCTCAAGTTATGGCAACTGGCAATTAATTCCACATCTTTTTCAACTACAATTTCACCATGTAAGAGCGTTAATAGCCATCATAAAAATAGGAAACCTACAATGACATAAGCATAAACGGAGAAAATAGATTTACTTGCGCTTCTTGGATTTTACAGAGGGCTGCTCAGGAATTTCACCATCATCTTCTGAAGAAAATTCTTCTGGTACATCAGGGACCTCATTTGGAACATTATGCTTGGTAATGTAGTCCTTCAGTATAGTCATGCTTTGCTCTTTCATAGAGATCAATTGCTCAGAAAGAATCCCTTTACAAACCTCAACAGAGTATGTTTCTGATCCAAGGCGGAGTGTGGCTTTCACTTGAGGAGGGGATAATGCTTCTTGCATTTGAGCATCCATCATCATATCCTATGTTCCTGCATCATTTCAGTCCTCACCTCAATCCAGATTATTTAGTGTCACCATTCAAAAGAAAAAAGCCAGATTATTATGTGCTATGAAAGTTAATGTTCGAGCATACATCCCATAAAAACACTCAACAAAGACAGATATCAAGCATTTGGACATATTGTAAGTGCATGACTACCTTTAGATGAAACACTTGAGCACTGAATCCATCTAAATGGGCATTCTTCGTCAAACAAGTTGCATAATATAAATGCAAAATGGCAAACACACCATAAAAATTGTTGAAAGGAGTAGAAGGTGTTTCATGTTCTTTGCGTCACTGATGCCAAATTCCTTTCTTGTGGTCTAGCCTTCACACACCGGCCGAAACCCATGGGAGGTGGTCTTATATTACAAATAAAGGAAAAGGAAATAGTAGAATATATTCCTCCACTATGAAGGATAATTGTTCCTGAAGAGGCCTGAAGGAGCAGGGCTTGGGTAGGTTGAAGGTCCCAGACAAGAGGACATCATGTAACTCAATGAAATAAGAGATTCGTTTTTTTTTTCTTTTCGTTCTTAAACTAAAGGAACATGAAGAACCATTTCCCAGCTGCTAAAAGTACAATATCACTTCCCCTTTTCTGCTCCTCCAAAAATAGGCACAGCTCTGCGTTAACACAATTTATAGTAAAAGGGAACTCAAAAGTCAAAACTGTCCGCTTTCCCATAAATTAAGACTAGGCCATCCTACATACTGAACAGAATTTGTTCAAACATGTATATCAAGATTTACTTTTTCGATAAGTTGCATACAAAATTTACTTCTCCTCCTATATAAGAATACATCACAAACAGTTCAACACGAAACCTGGAAAAAAGTACAGGAAACTTTTTTCCTTTCCGTTTCTGCAACATGACAAGCAATGCACATCCTAAATGAGAATGTAGGCCAGGATATTGTTTCCAATTTCATGGTAGCTCAAGCCTTAATGCCTCAAACAGAACCCACATACTCGAAAGATCCAACACTAAGTACTACAAATATATACAAAGTTTGCTTCTCTATTATATATCAGATACCCAGCAGCACAAAGTCAGAAATTTCACTACAGAACCAAGAGGCGCCTATACTCCAACTAGTACATTCTGTTCAAATACTTGTAGAACCATGTGTTACTAAAGCAACCAATGAAATGAACTTAGGCCTTCTCTAAACTACTTATAGGATCTTCCCCCGGATATAATACCAAAGAGTGTGATGCTTAAGTTTACCTTTTCTCTTCCCTTCAGTATTAACCATTTCTTCTCATTAGACCACATATACAAACCAGCAACTCGCCAAACGTGAACCAAAACTTCCCCCTTCCCCTATACAGATGACATTTTTTCCCTCGACGCTAGCCTAGAATCATTACATTTCATTGACAAGAAGGGTAAGAATATATATATCTGACACAACTTCAAACAATAATAATGGAGTTAATTATAAACTATGTCATATGAACTCGCGGGCAAGTATGTATCCAGCATCAGTATGAATAAGTACTCACCACCCAGTTTTCTCAATTATCAGTCATTTTGTCATGTATTTTGAAGGAGTAAAACGAAGTATCCATACTCATGTCATATACATGGGAAATCAATTACCGTCCTGACCGAGCCTAAAATCAAATTCCACTAAATATTTTTCACAGACATTTACAAATCATTATCCACGTTGCAGAAACGAATCTCAAACGATTCCAAGTTCCCCAAAGCTATAAAAGCTCAGAACTGAACTTAGTATGAGACGAGCTAAGCATGAAGTTCAAAACTATATCTTAAGATGGGAAAGAAGGATAATATCAGTCAAATACGTTAAAGAAGTATGAATTGAGCGATTATAAGTTGTATTGAAGCAATTTGTGCTTACAGATTAGACGAAAATTTACCTGATTGTAAGTGGCGTTTGGGAGCTACAGAGGCGGCAGAGGAGCGGCGAGTTGGGGATTTTGGGGGAATTTATTAAAACGTTCTCCTAAAAAGGTTAATTTTTTATGATTTTAAGGAATTTGATTGGTGAGTGAAACTATATATATATATATATTACTAAAAATTAATTAATTGTTACGAAATAATAAAAGAAGAAGAGTATTACAAAAAAAAAGTAGGGAGAGAGAATTCTTATTGATTTTTAGGATCAATTACAATGGAATAGGACCCTCTATTTATAGGGAAGAGTGACTTAGCCGCCAAGTAACAAACCCTAAAATCTCTCTAAAATATAGATATTCACCTTAAATAAAACTCTATTTATAACACTCCCCTTGAATGTCTATTTAACGGATAATGTGCCTCGTTAAAAATTTAATTAAAATAAAATTCAGTGGAAAAAATTTCTAGAAAATGAAAAGAGTGCACATGTTTAGAAATACGCATTTTGGTTGCCTCGTTAAAAACCTTGCAAGGAAAACCCAGTGGAACAAAACCTTGTAAGGGAAAAAGAGCACAGCGCGTATTAACTCCCCCTGACGAGAGTATCAATTCACATCTTTGAGCCTTCGCATTCTAATCTTGTGCACTAGTTTCTTAAAGGTTGACGTCGGTATAGATTTGATGAATAAAATAACCATATTAACTCTAATGAATATGTTGCACCTTGAAAATCCTCGCTATCACGTTATCATGCTTATAGTTATAGCAAGATCAATATATGCGCAAATAGCACTTAGAATATGATACTTCAGGACCAAGAATTGTATACGCTTCAAGCGATTTAAATCCTTCTAAGTGTTATATAAGCTAAGTCATATAAGTCATATAATAGACTTTAATTAGATGTATATCAAGTTTTCATGTCATGCTAGACAAATAAGATATCGAAAACTGACATTGACTTTATACTTTCAAGTATTTGAACTACATGTTCAAAACTACATGTCTTTCATATGAAACCAATTCTATTTGAATTGTTTCTCTTCTATTTGGCCAATATTTTTGTGTCTGTATTAGATAGACTTGAGGTCCTCATCTATACTTAGCTCTATAATAGATGTCGTCGACGAACATTTTATATCGGTTCTAATATTTTTTCATAAAGACATAACATAGAGACCTTTTCATTCATTTAGCTACTTGAACCTCTCTTAGGTTTTATGAAATGTTATATCATGTACTCTTCTAGACCTCTTCTTTATCAAAAATTTCATTTGAAACCGATTTGTTTATACGCTTTAAGCGTACCATAAATTTTGTACTTTTAGGACTCATTCTAATAGGAGCATTTGCAGTGAGAATATAATTACTTTCTTTGGGTCAGCAAATGCGTCTAGCATGCTTTGCAATATATTGCAGATGAATTATCTTTTTATGAACTTCAAGTTCATATTGTTTTATTCGAGGATCTAGATGTACATATGATAATTCATTCCACGTAACTTTTTCTCAATTGTTTATCATGTCTCCCCCTCATGTTAGAAAAACTAACTTGCTTCCTCAACTTTGGAAATCCATCTTTGTGCGTTATGGTGTAAATCAAAATATACACCGCACATCAATAATAATAAGATGAAATTATTTGGTTTATGACCCCGAACCACTTGTGAAAGGAGAATGTAATATACTTTCGTATATAACCTATATCATACTGATATAGATAACTTTTGTTCTCATAAGCAATAATTTAACTATTAAGTGGAGGCACTCAATAAGTTATTTTGCTAAATCAACTGTGATGTAAACCAACTTATCAAGATGAACTGTATTGAATAGGAATCTGGAAATTATGCTCTAAGTTAAATTATTGAGCAAGTTACCTCGCAAATATCAGGTTGTGGGTTAATAATAATCGCATGTGTAATCATCTCATAGATGCATCTTATGTGGTATAAATGGCAGTTGAATGAGCCCATATTCGCCTTTGATATTTCCAGCATTCATGGGATTCAATCCCAATTTTAGTTGGCCTATTAATTAATAAGAACAAGCAACGTAAGAGAATTCGTAAAGAACTTTCTAGTTCTTTAATATTTACTCTTGTGAATTCTCTTTTATTTTTTTTGCATATCATACTTAAATTAATATGGCTAAATCAATTATGCCAACTGGATAAATTATCAATTTTGATAAACTTCAGGTTTACACCATGACGTGTGCAATTATAAATAAACTTCAAGTTTGTTATGATATGAGTTTTTATATCAATAAACGTCCACTCTATTGTGGTATTCTTTTATTTATGTAGTACAAACTGAAGAGTAAACCGGGTAACTTTTCACAACATATTATCCCGCTACAAGTTGTAGTAATAGAAGATATTAAATCTTTCTTTTATTTATAGTCTCAATATAACCAATCGCTTTCGCGAATACTTTAGAAATTCAATTAAGTTTCTTTGAGACTTACTACAACACAATATCTTATTGATAATCAATTTTATTCCTCCAAAATAGTAATAATTGGCTCTTTCAAAGGTCTCAATTAATTTGGTACTACTACATATTCATCAACATCCATACGGTGAATATCTCTTTTAAGGAGAAAGTTATACCATTATGGTCATGGTCAAAATCATTATAGGCAAGATATGTTGCTTCTATTACGTTTGCCATGTAATAATCACATTGCCATAATATTTTGGCTAATCACAATAGGTACGTGATCAATGACCATCCATACCATAATTATGAAATTATTTTCTTATTTCATCTCAAACCTCATTCTAGAGATGAGTGTGGTATATTCACTACCGCTAACACGTTCATATTCTTCCAAGAATGAAAATGTATTCATAAATCACATGGTGTCACATTCACATCATGAATGGACCATAATCCTCTATATATATGCTTTACAAAATCACATGTCAAATCAATGACAAATATTACATTCACAAAGTGAAGGATTATTTTGAGAATCCTTATTGATCTCATTACCACAATGAGACAATTATAATTTCGTCTATTATCACGTTCACATCCATTGATATCTTCACGGTAATAATTTTGTCTTTTTTCAGACGTATCATATATTGCTATCACATTCTCTTAAGGAAATGGGAATGAAGTAAATTCAATGGGACGAGTTTTCAATTCTTTACCCACAATCATACATAAATTTGATCATGGCAAGGCATAGAAATTTTACCACTTTGGGTGATTATAATTTCTTTCAAACTCCATTAGAGTTACAATCAAAATTTATCGTCTTTACTTGTATTTAAAATCAAATTATAGAATGTCAAGAATTTAAAAGAGAAAAATAAAGAAAAATACTTACCTTAAATCCAGAGTTTAATCATGAAGGAAGTTCATGGAACAATTGACAATCATTATGTTCAATCCCAAAGCTTATACTCAATTGGTTAGAGACTCGTACTGATAACGTGTTATGAAATAATAAAAGAAGGAGAGTATTACATAAAAAAGAAGAGAGGGAGAATTCTTGTTGATTTTTGGGATCAATTACAATGAAATAGGACCTCTCTATTTATAGGGAAAGAGTGACTTAGTCATCAAATAACAAACCCTAAAGTCTCTCTAAAATATAGATATTCACCTTAAATAAAACTCTATTTATAACATTAATAACATTTTAACAAATCAGATAATGTTTTCATAAAAAAAGTTTGAGTATTAATAAGAATGATAATAACGTACAAAACTTAAAAGTTAAGATAGCTACAGAAAAATTAACTAATGTCTATAAGCAAGAATAGTTAATGCCAATTAAATACGAAAAATTACTTTTTCAAAACCTTTTTCTTAAAAAATTATTCACGTAATATCACAAACTTAAAACTATAAAGAAGTTGAGAACTTTTGGTATTTGTGAGGTACAATGAAGAGATTTTCTTGTTTGATCTTATATATAATTATCCCCGTGACACATAATAAGTGGGCATGTTTATTCAGGCCAAAAAATAAACACTATTGTATGAGGTAGAAATAAGTTAGAGCCATATAATTAACATGAGATACAATATTACACTCGCACCATCCCAAATTAACTGTTCTATTACGATTTTGGCTTGCAAGGAGATTATGAGGCTATTGTACAATAACCATATGGGGTAGACATAATTTAGAGGCTTGAATTTAATTAATTAAATTTACTACAGTACAAGCATTGAGTAGGTAAAAGGGTATTTTTTTCGGATATTAATTTAGTAGAGAAAACTTAGCTATATCGAGTATTCTTAATAAACTATATAACTTTATTATAATTAAAAAATTTATTAATAAAATTAAAATATATTCTGATTAACTATAATTAAGTGAAAACAATTATATAAGAATTGTTATATAGTATTTTATTTATGGTGAATGTCTAAATTTTAGAAAGATTTTAGGGTTTGTTACTTGGTGACTAAGTCACATTTTCCCTATAAATAGAGTGTTCTATTCCATTGTAATTCATCCTAGAATTCAATAAGAATTACTCTCTTTCTTTGCAATATCGTTCTTCTTATTTTATTATTTTATTACACATTATCAGCGCGAGACTCTAACCAATTGAGTAGAAGCCCTGGGATTGAGCATGATGATTGTCAATTGTTCCATGAACTTCCTTCATGATTAAATTCTGGATTTAAGGTAAGTATTTTACTTTATTATTCTCTTTTAAATTCTTGAATTTCTATAATTTGATTTTAAATACAAGCAAAAACAATAAATTTTGATTACAACTCTAATGGAGTTTGAAAGAAATTATAACCACCCAAAGTGGTAAAATTTCTATGCCTTGTCATGATCAAATTCATGTATGATTGTGGGCAAAGAAGTGAAAATCCGTCCAATTGAATTTTCTTCATTCTCATTCCCTTAAGAGAATATGATAGCAGTATATGATAAGTCTGAAAGAAGACAAAATTATTACCGTGAAGGTATTAATGGATGTGGACGTGGTAATAGACGAAATTATAATCGTCTATTCTGGTAATGAGAATAATAAGGATTCTCAAAATAATCTGTCACTATGTGAAAGTAATATTTGTCATCGATTTGACATGAGATTTTATAGAGCACATGTAGATGATTATAGTCCATTCATGATGTGA